TTCTTTGGTGTAGATCGGTGCGGTTCTGATTCATGTCGGTTTAACTGTTAATCGCGTTTAATAGGATGCTTAAAACTTCTTAACAGCGTCTTGCCGAGTCGGATGATAACATTAGGTAACTCAAGAGAAGCAAAAAGTTTATCAATTCCAATTATTCGACGAAAACTCGTAACTAACGACTATGAAAGTATGTTTTTGTATTTGCACTATTCGTTATAATATTTTATATTTTTTTATTAAATAATGTAGATCCGCCAGTGCCGATAAATACTACATATACTACATGGGCATGGAGATTTTGCATTTGATTTATTCAATATCCAACCTTAGTTACAAAATGCTCCATATACTTCTCAATTTTTATTCAAATTGTAGAAAAATCTGTACATAACTGCAAGATAGACAGCTGTATTAATAGTCGACAAGAGTCAAGTGGGCTAATATTAGTAGGCCCATGAGTGGCATAATTATAAGGCCCATGAGTGACATAACTATCTATTTATTGTGTAATTATTTATTAATTGAATATATTAGTACAACACATATGTATTACACAAGTGCTTGTTAAAAAATTATTGTTAAATTTTAAAATTAATAAAAAAACTATATTAAATTTAGTTTATTTTTTTACAAAAAAAAATATATTACTATATATTTTAGAATGATATGTGTTACTTATGACTTACATGTGTTATATTATATTAGTTTTTATAACTTATATCATATAACTACTTGAAATATAAATATATTAGTTGATAAATAATTTTATTTTTCTAATTAATATTAAAAATAATTTTATTATTGTTATAAAGATAAATATAAATTATTTTTTTTATACATACAATATGGATGTTAAATCGAAACTCATCAAAAAGATTAATTTGATATATTACATATGTAAAACTAATAAAAAATACAAAAGTTATTAACTTTTAAAATACATATACAATTCAATAGTTATAATAAGGAATGACAATTTTGTTAAGGAACCAGATGGTTGGTTTCTTTATGGAACCAACCACAAAGTTGTCCCAGGTGACTTTCATGTGGGACAGTCTCACGTGGAGCTGTCCCATTGGTGGTTGGTTCCATAAGGAAACCAACCATCTGGTTTCTTAGAAAAACTGTAAGGTATGATATTAAAATGCAATTAATGCATGTAACATGAACATAAATAATCAACATATTTATGGTAATCCAAACCTAATTATTTTTTGTTTGGAATTAAATTAAAATTTACTCAAGCCTAATAACGAAGTATGTAATTTTGCCACATAAGATTTCGAAGCACCAGAAGCAGCCACGTAGGTTCAGCACGTTCTGGATTAATATATAGGGGATGTTTAGGAAAAAAAATATTGTGCTTAATCTAACTATTATGCTATGTAATTATTTTTATAAACTATATAATCATAATGCCTTTCAATCAATATATATCACAATTAATTCAAAATAAAAAATATACATTTTCATAGAGTAAAATTTTGACACATAATAATTACTATATTCACAACAAATAATGTAGGTCGAAAACAGTAAATCATAATTATCCATGCAACTCCACTTGGTACACCCCATATATTGGACCTTTAAGTTTGTAACATAAAGTAACTAATTATATCTTGCTTGCAAAAGAAATTAAAAAAAAATAATAATAAAAAATAAACAAATCCAAGTATAACAAAATCCTGCTTTATTTTTTCTTCTACTCTTCTTAAGGCATTACCAAATACTGATCATCTTCCAAAACTTCATTTATCAGTAACATTTGTTCCATGCCAGCCACAAAATTCAGAATGCTTCATTTAAATTCACCTTCGCAGACTCCGAACATTTGCAGCTCGCGCGAGTTTCGATTAGAGCCTGCAATGTTAACCATGAAATTTTCAGCAAGGCTAATCACCCAAAAAATGATCAAATCAAAATAAAATTATGAGCACATTACCTTGTACTGTTTCTGTAGGTCTTTTATGTACTCAACAGCAAAGTCCAACATCTTTGCTGTGGTTGTTTGCTGCATGCAAAAATCATAATTAACAAACCTTTGCCTTTAAAACAAAAAATCAAATGTAGAAGTAAAAAAAAAATGGTTGTACATTATATATATATTACTTTATCCATGTTTGGAACAATGTCTTGTAACTTTCTTATTCTTTCACTGATTCTTGTCCTTCTCACCTGCACCACACATGAGAATCTACTTCATTAAAATTTGTTTTTAAGGTATATAGTTTTTACACATTCGAAATATCAATTAATCATCGCTTTGGTCATAATCGAAAAAAAAAATGGTCACGATAAAATTACCCTCTCGGCTATGCTACGTGGATGAGTGGCACAACCGCGCTTTGCACGAACTTTGCAAGGAACCGTATCTTCAAAATGCAATAATTTCTTCTTAGCATCCGTTTGATCATGAGCTTTAGTCTTCGGTACACTTAATAAGTGGTGTGAAGAATCTCCAGGACGTTCCTCAATCTGATTGTTGTTCTTCAATAAAAAACGAAGATCATTTTTACGTAAATCAACCAAACCAACCGAACAATATTAGCACAGCAAATTAAATTACGAAGATTAATCACAATAATTATATCCGAGACTAATGATCGACAACCTGAAAATGATCGACAAAAGGTGCTCGATCACTATCATCCAGCTCATCACTCTTGAAGTAATCTTCTGCGTAACACGACGAGTAACTATCGGTCAAAGATCCAAAGCTAGCGAACGAACTTCCATTAATTGTCCCGTCGCATTTGTAATCATCAGCTTCCGATATTCGGGATAACTTCCCCAAAGAAGAGAAGACATCCATGCGATTACTTAATCCACCAGAACATGTATTAAGGTCCATATAACAACCTGCAAAGTCGAACGGTATATTTTTCGACCAAACCGATCATTTCACTAACAAGAAAACACAACCAAATCATTATAAAAAGTAGAAAAAAAAAAAAAAA